AACGTGTTGCAGCTGCAGTTAACCCAAATTGCCTTTCCGCTGACCAGTTGGGTCCGAGCATCACATAGATCACACTATGGTGTTACTCAGAGTTCCAGCAGCCTCCGGGCCCATCGCACGAATAACGTTTATCTCTGGTTTCTAAATCTGCATCGGAATTGGAATTGGAATTGGAGTCGGAATAGTTGCAGTTGGAGCCGGAGTCTCTGTTCCAATTTCTGCAGTCGTTTATTGTCTTTTTTTCCGCCTTCTAATTTGCATTTACTAAAGTTTGCCAGCTTTGTGTCGCTGAAGAGTGGCCACTGCTGGAGGGTATCGTGAAATGTAACTGCTTATAATCAGCTTATATAAAGAAAAGAAAAGCCAAGAGTATGTCAAGCTGCGACTCGATAGCGTCCAACTTTGCTGTTATATTTCTTGGGGGTCTTTTTTGGCAGTGGCAGTTTTTCTGCCATCGCCTGTTCTTGTTGCAACATTTCGAGCTGGAAATGTTCAACCGCAAGCCAATGAAGCCACTTTACTTCTGTTGTGCCTCTTTGCTGCATTTTGCGGTTGATCTTGTTTAGTTGCCGAAAACGCATTCAGCCAGAGCCGCTGTTAACCCTTGTGCGAGGTGAAACTTTTGACGTGTCAAAGAAAAAATATATTTGCGAGGAACTTCTTGCTTGACAGTGAATGCTTGTCATGACTGCTTATATCATGTGTTAGCCTTTGTTTTGTAATTGTTTGCTTATCGGTGAGAGGCTGCAGCTACTTTTTCAGCCAAACAGGTGCAAGAAATGGTTGCGCATGGCATTCAAAATAAGTTTGCGGACTTTGTCTTAAATGAAAGTTGCCAAAGTTTGTATTTAAAGAACCACTATGGGGGGTGCAAATGTGACTCATTCTGAGAGTGAGAGGGGGTCCCTTTCCGCCACCGGTGCATGCGGCAGGGTTAATGCTTGCTTTGAGTGCCTTTCAGCTTTCCGTAAGAGATGCCTTAGTGGGTCACGGTGGACCAGTTTGCAGTTTCGGCCAGTTTTGGGGCAGGAAGAAATTTCTTTTCGTTTCGTTGCATATCATTGGCGACTCTTTTACTTTTCTCTTTGCCTTTCTCTCAGAGTCTCTCTCCACCACTGTCTTTCTCTCTGGTTGAGGTGGTTTTCTGTCTGAATCGAGAATTTCCAAAGTTGTACAAATTGATATCCGCTATGCGCTGCAAGCGGTCAAGGCATCACAGCCTAAGCTCCATTGGGTGCGTTCTGTCCACGTCTGCGGAACGTGTCTGGACATATAATTGGGATGCCAAGCCAAGCCGGGTCTAAGCTGATTTCTTATGCAAATTATGAGTGGAAATGCCTGATTTCCGCTGCCCCATTAGCATTGTCAATTTTTACGACTACGATTCTCCCTGCCACAAAAGACTCCCTGCCCCACACCACTATTACTCGTTGTAGTAGTATAATCCGACAACGGCCCAGCTGCTAACGATTGCCTCATCGTTACACATTTCTCGGGTATTACATGATGATATCCATCAGCGTCTGGTTTGCTTTACTGCTCTCTGGTCTGGTCTGCTCTGCTCTGCTCTGCTGTTGCTCCTCCTTGGGTTTGGCCTGTCTCTGGCTCGCGTGCAAAAGTATTATAAAAAGCAGAGGGGCATGGCGAAATCGAATGCCAGATGCTCTGTTTGTAATGAGATACATTTTGAGATAGTTTCCATGAGATTAGTGCTTGTATAAACTCGGTTCAAGCTCGGTTTTACAATTGTTTAGGGTTCTTTCTGGCTGTTCAACTTGCTGTGCCGCTTGGATCCATATAAATGATTGATGTAATTGAACTCAAAGTTACCTAACTTAATTGTACTTGCACTTGCAGCTATTTCTACTTGATCTATTAGTTGCCTAGTCAAACGCTACTCTTTTACTGGGATCTACTGTGGCTCCACATGCCCCACGATTCTTTAAGAGTATCGTCTACAAAGAGCTTTGCCGCACATGCAACCAAGCATGAGGCACACATAGATAAATGACGCCACAGTCGCGAATGCCGAAAATGCATTTTCCCATGCAGTTGCAGGCAAATACATAAATCTCATAGTTTTTCCAGCTAAAGACAGAGTCAGAGTTGTCAACTTTGACATTCCAGTTCGTTGTCCGATTCGATTGAAAGATTCGTAAAGAATTTCACAAAAAATCTTGTTCGCTGCTCCAGTTTACCAAATGTATCTGTATCTATGGAGGATGATGTCAGAAAGAGAAGGATAGAGGAAGCATTGCTTTGTATCTAGACCAAGTGTCGACAGATGAGTCCGAGGGCCAGCACTCTGGGAGGTAAAAACGGGTTTTCATCGTATGTGCCTGTGTGTGTGTGGATTTCCACATGCGAGGCGAAAAGAATGCTTTATGGCACCTGGTAATTGAGTGCAATAGCCGGGCTAAAAGGTAAGCTGGAAAGGCACGGCGAGTGATTGCTTTAAAAACAGTTAGTTCCGATGCCAACAACCTGCAAAGATGAATGGAAAAAAGAGCCAACTAAAGGGAAATCAATGCGGCTGAATGAATCTATCCCTGCACCTGCCCTAACCCATAAATTGGTTGCGATTGCCGTGCAAATGAAAGCGTGGAAAATGATCTCACTGGAAAGAGTCAGTTCCGATGCCAATAACCTCACCAAATGACTCAATGGCCACCAAAGTGTGCGGCTGACGCCTGTGGCTGTATTCTATTTGGGTCTTTTTACTCGTAAATCTTAGCCGCTGTCCAGATAGAATAAAAAAGATAGTAGTACACGTATCCGGAGGCAGGGCTACGACGACACCTCCCAAACTGGGTGGACCTACGTACCTCCCAAGATAAAGCGATTTCGTGAGCGGAAAGATACTAACTGCGGTGATATTTATTTATAATTGTCATATAATTGTGGCATGCACACAAAGCACCAAAAATAACACTTGACTCAAATTGGGGGCACAGCAGACCGTCGATCCATGTAGGGCAAACCCAGCACTGCCGACAGCTGGCTGGGCTTTTAATTGGATTGAATACGAGCAATGCGCCCAAAGCGTACCACCAGAGACATACACAGGTACACAGACACAAGGTGGCAAAGCAAATAACAAATAGAAAACTCTAGCAAGTTCTGTGTTCCATTCGTTCTCAGAGATCTTGGATCTGAGATGGATGTCAGATGCCACTGATGATAGCACTATAAAGGTGCAAAGCGGAAACAGTAAGCGAGTAATTTACGACTCGCAAAACTTCCTTTTGGCCCCCTTGTTTGGGCCGTTGGGCAACAAGTGGCCAAGAACAAGACAGCGGCAGCAATCAGCGCATCAGCACTTCAACACGTCAACCTCTAATCACATTAGCACAGTGGCCAACAAATTGCCATTAGAATGAGTGTGCACCATGGCCCCGGGGGTCCATAATTATGCGACCCATGCAAATGGCCATTGTCTCGGCCCAGCCCGGACCGGCTCTGCCTGACACGGAGAGACAGACTCCGGAGGCATTCTCTGTCAGGGATCAGAGGTGTTCACAGCCCACAGCCCACAGCCCACAGACTCTTTTGCTGCCAATGGGGCATTGCGCAAGATTTATGACGCCTCCAACTCCGAGGTGTTCGGTGTTCGCTGCTCATCTCAGCTTCCGTTAACCATAGCTTTGGCTTTCAATCTGGGTCTAGGTCGTCGGTCGTTCGTTGCGTCGGTCGTTGCCTGTCAGACTGATGGCTCTAACGCCACATTCAGTGTTCAGTCAACTAGAAATTCTTTGCCATCTATTTCTGTTGCCTTTTGCGGTTTGTGTGTCGCCCATAGATTCATTTGTATATACTAGTACTTTTTTTTGTCGGGCCCAGCGTGCTATTAACGCTAGAGAAAATTACAATTTGTCTGCCAAGTTGAGGGAGTAGGAGGAATCCACTGACAGAAGACTCAATTAGACGAAACGAAACATACCCTCATCGAGGTTGATTACAGAGGATTACAGGAGACGATTGAAGGTGGGAAACGAATATGACAGGGATCATGGATCATGGAATGGATCAGAGGATATATAATAAAATAAGCATTGTTTTGCTCACACCTTGCAAAGAGGAAACTTTGATCATGTCATGAAAATCCGAAAAAGTCTTCAATGGATTAAGAGCATCTTGCATATTGTATTAATATAACCCTGCCTTCCCTTAGGGTATATCCATTGTGGCATTCAAAATGGACTGAAATTTTGGGTAGTGACTCTTTGCCGTACCCTGGGCCGCCTGATCTCTCTCTGCACTCGTAGCTCTGTCTCGCCTAGGCCGCCCTCTTTGGGTGCAACAGGGTCGATGTCGGCGTTGGTGTCTCTGCCGCATTCGAAACTCGTTTCCGTCTACCTTGGCTTTGTTTCTATTTCTAAGACGAATGCAATTACTATACTGCTTGTAAGTATTTTCGATTTGAAAGCGTTTTAATGTTAGCTCATTAATGCGGCGGCGGCACCCACTAACCACCACCAACCCCCCCTTCTATCCATCGCCGCAGAGAGCACAAACAAAAGCAAAAGCTAAAAGTGAGCGCAAGCTTTTCTAGGCAATTGATGGCTCTCTTGGGTCTGTTTACATTTTATAACGTAATCAGCTGTTTTAGCTTAGTGAGAGCATCTAGCAGTGAGCCAGTGAGAGCAGCGAGCGTGAGAGTGTAAAAGCGGAGTACAAGAAAGAGAGAGAGAGAGAGAGCATGGGATGTGCGAGTTGTACAGTTAAATGAGTGCAGAGCTTAGGCCTGGTCAGCCCCAGAGCTTGTCAATTGATTGACACAATAACAACAACAACAACAACAATGAGATACTGTGCTGTGCAATGTGCCATCACGTAGAAAAGTCGTAAAGCAACAACTACTGAAGGAATTTTACGGGCTAACTGTATGTGTGTGAGCGTTTGCGTTTGTTGTTGCTGCCTCTGGCTCTGCCACTGCCGCTGCCACTCTGCTCTGTGTTGTTGCGCGCTCTGGCAGAGGTCCGCTGGTGCTGTTGGCGCTCCGCTGCTGGGGTCTCCCGTCAGTTGTTATCGGAACGTTGGCGCTGTCTCGTTGGAGCTTTAAACTGACGCGGACGCGAACGGTTGTCGTTTGCTTTTTGGTGGGTTTGTTTGCTGCTTGGCTGCTTTTACCTCGCTAACTGCTGCCTGCTGCCTGCTGCTCTCGTGCGCGCGCTCACACTCTCTCCTCTGCACTGTGAAGCTCCCACGCGCGCTTCTTCCTCGCTCTCTCTGTGTCTTTTGACATCACGACTGGGCAGAATAAATCGTTATAGTTTCTGCCTTTTTATTTGATTTGCTTATAGAAATAATTCCAATAAAATCCACCATAATCACTGAAATAATCTCCGTCGTTGTGTAGTGCATAAATAGAAAAGAAAAAGGAAAACCCCAAAGACGACAGTGGTGCAACATCAAGAAGCTTTATTTATATATAGAAATCTGGTGTCTGTGCGGTACTACGAGTGTGTGTGTGTGTGTGTGTGTGTGTGTGTGTGTGTGTGTGAGTGTATGTGCCTCAAGTTCATGGTGTTTGTTTGGTTGTCAAAATAACAACAAAACTATCAAAAGTTTACTTAAAATAAATTATTCGCTGGCTTCTGCTCTCCGTGCAGATCTCACAGTCAGGTGGCTGCTTATCATAGAACTGAAACCACTCCCGAACTACTCTCTATGCTAGTTGTACAGCGCGCCAAACATGAGATACAGAGATACATGTCGAACAAGCACAAAACAGATATAAACAACAGTTCGTTTGCCGTTTGATTGCACTGTTGTTCAATTTGTATATCGGTGTGTACATCTCTATCGCCGTCGCTATCGTGGGCAGGAATCCGCAGCAGAGGCAGAAACAGCGGCAGCTCTGATAAGAAACACATTGATAAGCCATCTAATACCTCTCACTCTATCACGCTTTCTTTCACACACACTCTCTCTCTCTCTCTCTCTCTCTCTCTCTCTCTCTGTCAGTCTGTCTGTCTCTATCTCTCTTTACTTTGTTTGGGCGTCAGGTTTTTCGGTTTATCAGCGCTTTGCCGGCGACCTTTAGCTATCATCAAATCGTTTTTTTTTTTTTTGCGACGTTTCATATGCCTTCCTTCCAGTCGTAGTCGCAGTCGCAGTCCAAGTCCCACTTCCACCCGACACCCCACCTCCCAACGGATCCCATTTCGCACTGGGAAAATCGCCAGTGTCGAGTGACTTTATCAAATATGCAAAGCCGCTGTAATTATAATGCAAAAACGAGGCTTAAAATAAACGCGAGTGCATTTACTATAAAATAATTGCCATCAACAAAATACCCAACGTTTATATCATACTTATATCTAATTATAATTGCATTTAATTTCAAGCGGAAATAAATCAGAGAGAAAATCCCCCCCAAACACAATAAAAGAAACATAATTAAACAATTAACAAATAAAAAACTGAAATTATACAAAAATATACATAAAATCGTCCGTAGAGCGACAGGAAAGGAGAGTGGGTAAGTTTTTCCCCATTTAATTCCACTAATTAATTAAGAGCTTTTATGGCTCAATTGTCTATTATCGGGAAGCTCCATCTCAGGTTGCTTCCGAGAAATACGAGAAGTAAACATCCATATCCGTAACCCCGGGACCATGAAATCAAGGGTCCAAGGGCCGGCCCCAACTGCTCACGCAGCACGTAGAAAATCAATAAGCTTTGACTCTTGCCTTACTCCTGCCCCCTGAACTTGCCGACGTTTTTCATTAGCAACAGCTGATTGCACAAGCTGCTCCCACATCGCAACACACTCCCCTGTCTCCTGCTGGCAGCAGCAGCCCCACCTTCCCTCAGTCCGCAAACGCTTAACCTTGGCGCGCCTTTTTCCACAGTGAACTCAGCTTTGCAGCGACATGGGTGGAACTAGCTACAAACTGTGGCCATTATCATCTTCAATATTTGTAACCAATTATCAAAATATCCTAATGACAGGGTCTGTCTTCGGCTGTCTTTGATTTGAGTTGGGTTACTGCATGTTTAACCACACAGTGAGCACGCCTTTGAGGGGAACATTAATGCTTAGAATAATCAATGTGAAACTTCATGAAAGAAGTGTGATATTTTTTGTAGTGTATTAGTAAGGTTTAGCTAATTTTCTATTTTTAGGCCTTAGCCCCTATGATCACACCTTATAGTCCCTCTAGAGATAGTTTGAAAATATTAAATAATGAGCATTACCAAGAATTTGGCAGAGCCAAGCAACGTTAACCACACTTTAAGAGGCTCTGAAAGTGATACTGAAATATAATTTCCATATTTGATATTTTTAAATATTCTTTCCATAAATAGAGAACAGTTAGTTATGTGTTGTGTAATTATCTCTAGCATGGTGCACTTTATAGTAGAGTCTCCACCCAATCAAAGACAGAAATAAATACACTAATTAGATCTGGGGTTTTGGTTTGCTTATCAATTTCATTGGAGAAACTTTTCATGTAACGAGAACAGATATAGTTCTAAAAATCAAAGATTGAAAGCCCAATCTATTATTCCCGTTTGATGAATACCTTTTCGGACTGGGAGCATTCACTGTACTATCAAATGTTTGTGTGTGTGGGTGGGTGGGGATGGCATTTCCCTATCCGTCTGTTGCATTGCATGCTCAAGTTGTTTGTTGCTGTTTGTGTGTTTTTGTGCGTTGTTGTTGTCTTGGTTTCCTGGCGCCTCATTAGGTTGCCACCCAGACTGGGGGAATGCTTGCCAACGAACGTCACATGAGGTACATGTGTGTGCACTCATCAGGCGCACTCTTAGTCTCTCAAGAGCCTGCATTTGCCACTCCATCATGTCAATCAAAGTGGAAGTCCCTCCCCCAGAGTGCACCAGATAGGAAGTTCAATCATCAAATCAGGCCAAATCTAGGAACGAAAGGAAATGTTGTGCTGCAATAACAAACCCCCAAACCCAATCGGAAATATAATCAGAGCCATTGCTTGTTTTGACAGTTGAAGGACATGCGCAGGCTTTCGAAATCTCTATCCCTCTCTCGAGTACTTGTTCTCTCCGCTGCACAGTCTCCCACATTTGCACTTCTCTGTTTTTCTCTCTGTCTCTCTGAAAGCTCTACCACGTGATAGTTTTCCGGCTCAGCTGTCATCCAGCTGTACACAGACTTTCATTTAAATTCCCACAGGCGCCACAAACAATAAAAAGCTACCGAGGCGAAAGCGCTCCTAACACATCCTAAAGCTCATCGGATTTGCTTCTCAAAGCTGCTAATTTTGACCACTTGTTGATGTCATTTTTGATTGGCGGTTGCCTTTCTGATTCTTTAGAAAGTTTCTGCTATTTTTTACAGCTAAGAAATTATGCAAATTAGTCCAATGTTAAAAAAAAAAATACAAACCATTAAACGATTTCGAGATTCTTCTGACTAAAATCTTAGATTGAGAAATAAGAAACACAGAACCAAAAAAGCTGTCATTAAAGGGGTTTCCAAGCATGTAATTTTGTGGGTTTTCCTATGTGTTGAATACCGACACGACTTCTTTTCCTTTACTTTACTTTCGCTCTGAGCCAAGTCGCTGAATTGCATTCTAAAGTGAAAGGAAGTTGAAGTTGAAGCTGAAGCTGAAGCTGGGAGATGCTTTCTAAACGATGGCTCCACTCAAGAGGAGGAGTACTGCCATTCACAACCGGAATTGTACATATGCAGAAGCATGGAACAGTAGTGGCACCCACCCGTCGAAAACACAGCGAACGACCCACCAGCAGGCATACATAATAACATTCTATTTCAATTAGTGTAAAAACTGACCTATGCCATTTTCAGTACCATTTTGTGGTCTCTCAGTGGCTGAAACATTAATCAGCACGTTTTCAGATCGCTTTTGTTTATACGAGAGTCCATTCCATGCACAGCTTAACGCCCGCCAATGTCTACCCGTAGTAGTGCCGTCGGCGGTGTTGGGGGCAGCCCCCAAAAGCAAACACAAACCGAACACAACGTACTTACCCCCCGATTACCCCCCAAAGACAATTTGCCCATAAATATTATACGAATACGAGTACATAAACTACATACGTATATGCATGTATATTTCTTTGTCGTTTGTCTGCCGCATTGTTGCGGATTTCAATTTCAATTCCACTCATCGAGTTTCTGTCGTTCCCTAATGGTTTTTTAATACGACATCCGAAAAAAAACGAAACAAAACAAATAGCAGCTGAGTATTATGGTTTTCTTTATAAATAAAAGCGCACGAGGCGAGGGGCCGTGCTCGTGTGGGAAATGTGGATTCTGTTACGCCCTTTCATTCGGCTATAATATACTCGTACTTTACTGCTGCGACGAGTGGAAAGGAGTGGAATGATTGGGAATATGATACCGCTAATACGATAATAATTGCCCAAAACTAAAAGGTTTTAAGCATATAACCATTATAGAAAGTTGGAAAACACATTTTTGAAATTAAATACTGTTTACCTATTGGAACGATTTATTTACTTTGTGAAGATTTTCAAAAATCAAGTGAAACTGAATCTCTTATGTTTATGGCATTAAAATATTTGTAACCACTTTCTTTTAAAAGCTTCAACTACTGAGTTCAGTTTTCGGCAAATTACACCATTCAAATTACCTTTAAGTGATTCATTTTGATCTAGTTTGATATCTGATATGAGTATTTCCGCAAAAATGATATCTGACAAGCCGCTGTCAAAGCATGTGATTGCTTTTTTATTGCTGTATTGCTGTTCGTTTCTAAACCGAATAAATAATATTGGATCACGCAATGCCTTCATCATATCTCATCGCTTTGCGGGGGATCTGTCATGTTATATCAAAAATGTTGGATCAATCACATTTAATGTTATTTGCCAATTAATTGTATTCAATTTTGATGTATGGAATAATTGTAGAAAAAACCTGGAGCGGGAAGCTCTCTCTTCTCTCTACTCCTCGATGCGTTGCTAACGGCACGCTATATAATATTTAAATGCCGGCAAAAGTATCCGATACACGTACTCAAAACACACACATACACACGCCCACTGATACTCTATTATAATGGGCCATGCAGCACGCGAATTATTAAATATTTATTGAACATCAAATGCGGACTTCAAGCGTCGCTTGATGGCCATTTTACTGTTAGCTTTGACCCACCCACCAACCGGTTTATTGGCCATTTTTGTGCGAGTGCCCCCACGAGAATTTACGAGTATTTCCTTTTTTTCCGGATTCATTCTGTTTGACAAACTTATTAGACTCGACAGTTTCTCATTACATAAAAAATAAATGGCATTTATTATACAACAAGCAGTAAATAAACTAAAAAAAACATCAGCCCGTATGCGTGGCCATAAAAATTGCTTAAATCATGAACAAAATTGTTTGTTTTTTCGTTTTGCTGTTCAAGAGGCAGGGGCTCTCCTCAGATTACATTTAATAATCACTTTTTGTCATGAAAAATGAATAATTGGTTATTTTATTTATTTTATGCATATATATTTTAATGGGTTTTTTTTATGGCAGCACAGCTCAACTGAAGTATCCATAAAGAAGAGAAGAAAGTTTTGTTTTTATTTTTCGATTTGCATTGGGTTGCACAAGCTTTAAGCAGATGGCGCTAAATGAGCTTTAAACTTGCTTAGAAACTTGAATCCTTGGAAAAGCTCACCTGTTGGATTCTAAACAAATATGCGTTGCACAATCTAAGGCCTGGTCATGACAAAAACAACTGACCACAAAGTTCATTTGATGGGGCATTTCCAGCCAATACTTAAAGTGATAACACCACAGCGTGGATTGTTGATAATAAATGTTAGCATAGAAATTTGAAGTAATGTTAAGCTTAAAGAGCAAGACAATAATTTGGAAAACTTGCTTTGAGACTTGGATTATATTTTGGGAAACTCTCAGGGTTTTTAAGCCTTGGAAGGCTTCCATATCTTGGAAGGAGTAAATGATTAAGAATCTGTAATTTATTCTCGGAAAATGGAGTTCAATTTATTAGTTCAATATATTTGACATTTGTCAATTTTCCATTTGCTTAGGGATAAAAGCCGCTAATCAGCTACGTGAATGAATTATCGAATATAAATCGACCATGGAAATACGAGAATCCATGCAAATGCATTACAAAACTCTCACAGATGTCACGTTTCCGTATCTCTATTCAATTTTTGGATTTATCTACAACGCCACAGCCGACAGACCCTTATTGTTTCGTACACCCCAACCCCGACTGTATCCCCATAAGTATCCGTGTGTACGAGTATTGTATGGGAAATACATCGCGTGGGTCCAAAACGTGCACGGCACGGCACAAACAATCACCAATCACCAGCCACAATGCTCGTGCTCGTTGTATATAGTTTCTACATATAAACAAAAATAAAACAAAACACAAATCAGCGCCAAACATTCACTGCAACTGAAAGACTAACTGAAAATAAATATAAAAACAAAAAAACGAAATGAAATTGTGAGTTTCACAAGTGTCACGTTTTATGCAA